AATCTTCATTTAGTTATTTCTTTCATGATTTGTTTCGTGTCATGAGCTGTGCTTCCAAGCGAAGTGGTCCAAAGGGCTTTTAAAAATTGACCACGTGTTTAACAACGTAAGCAAAATGATTCTCGTCCGTTTTGTTCTTTTGCATGAACAAAAACTGTGTTCCTGCTTTCATTTTCAAGGGATCAGAGAAAGTCTGCGTTGGTGCCATCCTCGCTGGATACATTTCATGTTTCCTGTGTATGCAAGTGTGCACCTTCATATAATTCTAAGCGCTATATCACTCACAGACTATTTGTCGCTATGCAGTGTGTGGCTTTTTCTTCGTTTGGTTATAATTTGACAGGTTTAGAACGTCCGAAACCACTTTCAGCCACCCTTAGACTGTTAGGATTAAAAAAGCAAAGTGGCCATCATCTCAAAACTTTTCCCTTCTCACTCGACTGAGCATAAAAGGCAGCAAAAATGGATATGACCCGTATTGAATTCGTTGAAAACGCTGAGTATATCAAAATTAACTCAGGGTTGAGTTTGCCACGTAAGCACTTTCTTTATGGATGTACTTTCCAGGTGTATATCTACCTAACCTACCTTGGCTCTCGGTTCTGATCTGGATTCAAATATTTCCTTGTCTGGCTCTTCCACTCAGTCATTAAATAAATAACATTGGAAGATGAGACATTATAGTCAATATTACAACCTCGTTTCTTAACCCTCACCCCACCCCTCAGGATGGAGAATGGGACGCTTCAGTTGCGCCCCAGCAGTTGTACCTAAAGGGCACAAGTTTACCAACACTGCATCTAATTAAGTCTGGCGAATAGTTTAAAACTTCAGAATAGATTGGTTTAAGTCTATTTTTAGCGGAATATTGAAAGTCACTATTACTGATAGTGAATCGTAGTAAAAATTATTTTCAATCTTAAAACTCTGAAGGGTTGAATTCGTGCTTGAGTGCATCAGAAATTATACTCAAGTGTGGAGTTCAGTGGATTGATTTTAAGAGTCTCGTGAGAGTTAACTGAACTCTGTTTTTCCAATCTACCAATCATCTTATTGAGTGCGTGACTGCTGGACAGTAAATT